AAGTCCACGCTACTTGTGGATTACAAAGTGGGAACATTTAACTTCAAAGCACATCTGGCTGGTGTTACAAAATCAGAAAATAGATTGCTTATTTCCCTCAAATAGACTCAAGAACATGCTTTACTATGAATAATTCCCATTGCATATTAAAAGTGGTTATGAGACAAACTTAATGTATTGTAAATGAACAGCAACAAAAGAGTTGTACTTGTTTACAGTATTCATTGTTGCTTTAAAATACTGAAACAGATTTTTTTCTACTTTTTGTCAGTCACTGTAATAAAGGACATTTATGATAAAATGATTCCTTAACTTCTGAATTTAATGACTTTTAAAGATGAAGAGGATAAAATAGGAATTATTTCTGCATAGTTGAAAGACTACATTGTAATTAGCTAAACCAATATTTTGTACCCTGCTTATAAATGTAGAGCTGGGTAAAAATAAGTCACAGATGGTTTTCTTGGCTTTTAGCTTTAAATTTTAAGCTTAATTAGAGCTTGGACATCTTTGAGAATTCCCTGTTTCCCACTTCCTTTATTTTCTCCTTATATTTAATTCTGCTTCATGAATTAAGTTTTTATATTTTTGCAGATTTGCATGTGTCTTTGAAGGACTTACTTTCTGTGCTGGCTTTATCCATCCCCAAAATAGAGAATGGCTACTTACTTTTCTTATATAGCTTCAAACAATAAATATTTGTTCAGTGTATTTTGCTGCCTGCTGGAAATTTACTGCTTTTTTTTTTTTTAATCTGTGTATATATAGTACAGTGTTGTTTACTAAGGAATATGCCTCTTCTCTCCTATGATATTCAAGTGGATTTTATTATTTTTTAGTTAATAGTAATAATTCATAAAACTACCAGTAATGCTCCAGTTCTTGAATACTTTTTTTTAAAGATTTGTTTATGCATATAGAACTGGGGTACAGGCCAGCGGTGCAGGGGCGGTGAGCGGATTCACCAGAGACAGACTAGGGAGCAGAACAGGCAGGTTGGTGAAGTACACTGCTGAGAGGAGCAGTGGGCGGGTCAGGAGAGGTCTGCTGGGCCATGTGGGTCACCTCTGGGGCGGGGATCGAACTCATGCAAAAGTGGCTTTAGCTTCTTAGTGCTGTGCTTTAACCCCTTTGCCACCAGGGAGGGCCCTCTTGAATACTTCCATTGCCAAATTTTTGTGTATGCCAATCTGGTGGCTAGAATCTATTGTCCTTGTGGTATTACTTTACATTTTTCATAATTACACATAGTATTTTCACATGTCTATTAATTATTCATAAGTCCTTACCACTCTTCTCCCCTTTTCTTAAGTGTTGTTGGTGTTTTACTTACTGATTTTTAAAGACCTTCTTTACCTATCTAGGGACCAATCATTTGTATAAACATCTAGTTTAGGGCTTATCTTTTAATGTTATTTGTGATACATATTTTAAAATTTATTTATTCATAAAAGAACTGGGGTACAGGCCAGAGGTGTAGAGGCTGCTGAGAGGATTCACCAGAGACAGAGTGGGGAGCAGAACAGACAGATTGACTGAAACATGTTGCTAAGGGGAGCATTGGGTGGACAGGGGAGGTCTGCCATGTCATGTGGGTCAACTCCCTGGCCAGGAATCGAACTTGTGCTGTAGTGGCTGCCAATAGCTTTCTAGTGCTGCGCTTTAACCTGTTGCTCTATCTTTCCTGGAGACAAGTTCTTAACGTGGTCAAAATCACTTTAAATTGTTTTCTGAAAGTTTTTATAGTTCTGCTTTTAATTATAAGGATTTAGCCCACAGGGAATTTATTGTATATGGTGTGAGGAGACAACCTGATTTAATTATCTTGCACTTATTGAACACACCCTTGTTTTCTCAATCATTTGCAATGCTAGCTTGCTCTTTTTTTTTTTTTTGTAAGATTTATTTATTTTTGCATACAAGAACTAGGGTACAGGACAGAGGTGTGGTGGGTTAGAGGATTCACCAGAGACAGAGTTGGGAGCAGAACAAGCAGATTGACTAAACTCTGCTGAGGGGAGCAGTGGGTGGACAGGAGAGGTCTGCCTCGCCATGTGGGTCAGTTACCTGGCTGGGAATTGAACTTATGCTGCAGTGGCTGCAGCTGGCGTCATTGTACTGAGCTTTAACCCATTGTTCCACTAGGGCGGACCCTCAGTGCTAGCTCTTTCATGACTTCTGCTTTCATACATACTTGGGCTTCTGGTACTTTCTAATTGGCTTCCTTGGCTTATCTTCATTACTATAGTCTTAATGTGCCTTTGTAAGTTACCTCAGTTGGCTTTTTTCTTCTTGTTTGTCTTGGTTATTGTTATCTCTTTATTTACATATACTTATAATGAATTTATTAACTTTTCAAAAATCCTGTTGAAATTTGACTTGGATTAATGTAGTCAAATTAAGGAAAGTTGGCATTTTTATGATATTGAGACTAACCCAAAACATGGATTCATTGTTTATTTCAGTTTTACTGTCTGTCAGAATGTTTATTTTCTCACTGAAGAGTTTAAATAAATTTTCTTAGATTTAGTTTATGATATATATGTTGCTTTGTGATTAAAAGTGATTTCTTTGTTTACTCATCTTTATTCCCTAGATGCAGAAATCTACAGAAATGCAGATGACTTTGCCAAATTCTTATTACTTTTTGTATTTATTTATTTTGAAGATTCTAGATCTATAGCAACATTTAAATGATGAAACATTCTTTTTTTTTCTTTCTAATCTTTGTGTCCTCTTCCCCTCCTTTCCTTGGCTTTTTTGTACTATTTAAGATTCCAGTACAGTGTTTAATAACAGTATGTTCACAGTGGGAATCCTTGCATCATTCCAACTATTAAAGGGAGTGCTTTCAGTGTTTCAGATTAAAAAATCAGATTAAAGATGCTTGATATTTTGTTTTTGCAGATTTTTTTGTGTGTGTGTGTGTGTGTGTTTCTCAAGCCCCTTTATCTTTGTGAAATTAGGCCCAAACTCTTTCTGACCTCCATGGTATCTCAGTTCCCTGAGAGTAATTGTGATTACTCAGTGAGGGCTTTCTTACTGTCTGGACTTGAACTCCCAGATGCCATCATTCACTGGTGGGACTTTTCCATGGCAGAATCTTCAGCAGCAGCATGCCGGCCTTTGCATCCTCCTCCTCAGGCATACTCACACGGGACCCTCCTAAGTGAACATGTGGCACTTCTTGCACACAGGCCTTTCTCAGTGGTGCCCTGTTTCACAGCTTTTAGTCTCTCCAGCGGCCACAAACTGTGACCTCTGCCCTTCACTCACTGGGGCCTCATGCTCTGTGGGCTCACTGTGCCAGGTGAGAGCTTGTCTTGGAGAGTTGCGGTAGACAACTAGGTAACTTGTGACTATCTCTTTCTTGATTTCTACCCTTGATGTTTGCTTTTTATTGTCTGAAATCTATAACCTTATGGGTTTTGTCTAGATGTTTGGGGGGCGGGAAGGTTAATCCTTTCTTGGGTAATCTGAAAAATCAGTTTTAATTTGATTGCTTCTAAAGTCTTTGAATCAATTACCTCACCTTTCTTATCAAATTAGACATGAATTGTCATCTTCCATGATGATTAACTATAACCAATCCTTGAGGAGGTTCACACTTTGGGATTTTGGAGGAGGGTAGCCTAATAATGTATATTTGAAACAGATGGGCCATTGATGCTAAAGCTATCCTACAGGGTAAGAACAATTGCCATTATTTGATGTCAAGCCAAGGCTATATTGGTACCTGTGTACTTTGTGAGTATCCATGTGATACGCTCAACCAACTCACATCATGTGAGTTCATGTTGTCAAGAGTTTTTAATTCTCTGATATTGATGTTTGATTCTTCATTTTTGAGTGAAATGGTCTGGATAAGTATTTCTCATTTCTCATATAATATATGAATTCAATAAACATTTCATTGAAAGGCTGTTATGTGTTAGATGTGGCGCTAGTCACCAGGAGTACAAAATTGAGATATTATCAGCCTTAGACTTGTGTTCAAAGATGGATGTGGAGCTACGCTGACAGAGAGGGCTGCGAGAGGCAAGGGTGCTCCAGTAGCTGCGCAGAGGGTGGGAGCAGACACTGCCCTTCCTCTTCCCCTTTGTCTGTGCCCCGCCCCTCCCTGCCCTTCTCACTCCCTCTCTCCCTCCTTCCCATCCTCATGAATATTTGTTGGCCAGCCACCACCTACCAGGCCCCATGGTGGGCACTGGGGTAGATGGGTAACAAGGCAACTGTAGTTCATTTGTCGATTCAGCCCTGTCTTGCATAAGAGAGATGTTAGATCATAAAAGGGAAGGAACCTCCAGGGTACCACTGGAATAGTCTGTTTCCAGGGGAGAGGTCATTCTTAACCTGAGAGTAAAGAATGAGGTCATCACGTGAACATGTTGGGAGAATGATTGCATAAATTGCAAGGACTCAGGGAGCAGAGAGTAGAGCTTTCAAGGTAAAACAGTAATTTGGTGTTCCAGGAATACAGAGCATGGTGGGAACCAGGTGAGTCTGGAAAGGGAATGTGCGAGAAATCCCAAAGAATTTTCTACTCTAGTTCTCACTGTGGAGGTAAATATAGGGGTTCAGATATCTAGTCTGCAATTACATGAGACAACAAAGATGAATTGGTACATGCTTATAGGGCTACAGGGCTGTATAGGATAATGCAGAGGCAGAAGGGAACCTATCAGATTCTGGAAATTTAAGTCATTTAGAATTCGGGGAGAACAAAATGTGAGATGAAGAATATGGAGGTGAGACTTGGCAATTAGGCTGCGAGAAGATTATGACGGTGCATTTACCTATGCAGAGGAGTTTATGTCTTATCCTTTATCTTTTAGGGTACCACTGAAATGTATTATACATTATCCATTATAGAAGTGGCTTAAATAATTAGCACATGTAGAAAACATTTTCATGAAGCAGCTTAGTTCTATATTTTATCAAATAATACTTAAACTAAAAAATGAATACCTCCTTATTTTATCTGATTTTTAAAATTTCAGATAGAAAATCCTCGGTACCTGAGACAGAAGCCTATCCCAGTTTCTCTGGTAGGTGCAAATGCCAGTGGCTTTTTTCTTTCTTTTTTTTTTTTTTAGATTTATTTTTTTTATGCACACAGAGGTGCAGGAGTGGTGAGAGGATTCACCAGAGACAGAGTGGGGAGCAGAATAGGGAGATTGAGGAAGTGCACTGCTGAGGGGAGCAGCAGGCAGGACAGGAGCAGTCTGCCTCGCCATATGGGTCACCTCCTTGGGCATGGATCGAACTGTAGCTGAAGCTGCTGCGGCCAGCTTCATAGTGATGCGTTGTACCACCAGGGAGGGCCGCCAAAGACTTTTTCTGTGGCCAGCTATTTTTTAATTAAATGGTCATTGACAGATTTATAGAAAATGACACAGGTCTTATAATGCCTAATCCTATCAAATGAAAGTGAATAAATTACTTCCTCCCCTCTTTCCCGCTCCCCCTTCTCTCCCCCCTCCCCCAATGAGGGGAACTTGAGGCAGTTAAACTTGAGTCAATTCTGGCTTGAGCTTCAGGCAATATAGAAGTTTACTTTGGGGTTAAGGATAAACCAGGCCTGGAACAGGGTTAAATTAACTCTTGTTCCTTCAACAGATGACTCCCAGATCCAGCCTGAGAAAATCTAGCAGCCTCCAGGATGATCACTTATTTTCTCTAACGCATAAGAAAGAGGTAGGATTGAGATATTTCTGATTTATAATAATTATCATTAATTTATATTTTGTATAATCTGAGTTTTCAGGTCCTACTTACAATAATGATATATGATACATGATAGGAAGAGACTGTCTTTGGTAGAATGTGAATGATAGATGCTGGGGGTGGAGGTGGGGGAAGGGCTTGTCTTTCTTGTTTTGTACCCATTTTCCATTTTGTGAGTCCCCTCATCACACCCACCAGATGGGGTGATGAGGGCTCTTTCCTGACACCAGTTCCTGATTATCAGGACCTGGTCGTGTTTAGAAACAATGTCTTTGACCTCCATGAGTAGTTTACATCCTTCCCCTCCTTAACTCAATTTATCTGTAATATATATTTCTAATTTTACTAATCTTACTCTTTTTATTATTTAAGCTGACTTGTTGTTTACTCATATACTGCTTTTCTCTCTTTTTAATTTCTAAGTTTATATTTTCATTAACATTTTTGAAACTTTTTAAAAGATTTTTATTTATTTATGCATACAGAACTGGGGTACAAGCCAGAGGTGTAGGGGTGATAAGAGGGTTCAGCAGAGACAGAGTGGGGAACAGGACAGACAGATCGATGAAATACACTGCTGAGGGGAGCAGGAGACCTCAGGAGAGGTCTGCCGCGCCAAGTGGGTCACCTCCGGGGCGGGGATCAACCCATACTGAAGTTGCTGTGACCAGCTTGCAGTGCTGCGTCCTAACCCATTGCGCCACCAGGGAGGGCCTTTTCTCTGGTTATTTTAAAGTATAATTATTAAAGAAGCCGTGCTATCTCTTGGGAAAGAGCACAGGCTGTGGAGTTAAGAAAATCTGTATTTAAACCCTCCTTCCAGTGGTCTGAAAGTGGACAGATTTCTCTGAGTCTCAACTTCCTGGAGAGAATCTGCAGGATTAATATAAGATTTTGTCGCCTTCACATATACCAAAGCTAATTTGCTTTTAAAAAATTTTACTCTGGGGCTCTCTCTGGTGGCACAACACTATGAAGAACCCACTATGAAGCTTTCCAAAGCCACTGCAGCACCAGTTGGATACCTGACCAGAGAGCTGACCCACATGGCGCGGCAGATCTCTCCTGACCCACCCACTGCTCCTCTCAGCAGTGTATTTCAGTTAATCTGCCTGTTCTGCTCCCCACTCTGTCTTTGGTAACTCCTCTCAGCCACCACATCTCCGGCCTATACCCCAGTTCTGTAAGCATAAGTAAATAAATCTTTAAAATTTTTTTTTTTTACTCTGGGAATTTTAAAAATCATTATTATTATTTTTAGTTTGCTTGCCATACCAGTGATTTCGATGTGATCTTTGTGGCATGATAGACAACTTGGGATCTGAGTAACTGTTCTTAACCTGTCTCCACCCAGGGAAGTTGCTAACACTAATTGTGTTTTTGATTAATGGGAGCATAATTACTGATTTCACAGCATTGTTACCAAAAATCAAATGAGAAGAATGAATTTGTTTGTAATTTGTAAATTGCAACTCACTACTGAAATATATAAGTATGGACTATGTTACTAATAGATTTAGATCAATATTTCTAATATATTTATTTTATTTTTTTTTATTTTATGGGATGCTTCTAACAATTTCTGAAATTTAATTTCAATTTGGTTATTTTCAACTTGATAGTTTTCTTATTGCCCTATTTATATTTATAAAATATTACAAAAGAGCTTTTTCTCAGATATTCCAATGTTACTGCAAATAGGTTTGTTTTTGTTGATAGTGGAAGAGGAAGGACTATTCTTTTCTTTCAAATTTCAGCCCCTTTGAGATTTTTGCAGTTCATCTAGACAATATTCAGTCAATTTGCAGCCCAGTTAAGTCATTTTAATTGACAAGAGTTTGTTTCTTGTAGTACTCAGTCTAGTGACTCCAAAGTACTGTTGAAATAAAAACTATACTTTAAAAATTCTTTTGAAGGGTAGTACTTCTTATATTCAGATGCACTTTTAATTTCAGCTCTTGTTTTGAATTTTTTTCTTTCCTTTTAAAGCTTTCAGTGTTTTTAAAAGTCACATCAAGTCATTCCCAACCACGTTTTCTTTTGCTTTTATTTTATACTAATTATTACTGTTGAGGTTGCTTACCATAGGATAATTAAAATAGTTGAAAGTGGTGGTTTTTGAAATTTTTTTGGTCTTTCATAAAATAGTATCTTTATTCTTTATGATGACATCTTGGTCGAGGGGTAAACATACCAGTGCTACCCACACATGTGTTGAAAGAAAAAACATTTAAAACTGTCGTGTATTGCATCAGAGATTCATTTTAAATGTGGGTGGCTTTATTTTTTCCACACCCTTATGTTTATGTTTTTCTTTTTGGCATACTGTAAAAATATTTGTGGTATCATTGAAAAGTTTGTATGTAAATAAATATCCACTTACTCGATATCTTAAAATATACCATTGGCTAAAATAACCCTTTGTGTAATTACATAGTTGTTTTTGAAGTTTTTTTTATTACATTTTCTCCTACATAAATATTTAAAATATATGCTGAGTTGCCACAATATGGGAACTTAGTTTCATTTCTTTCACAGTTGTATTTGTGATTATAAAAATTTATGTGGAATTTTATTGAAGAAATATTGGAAAATTTGGAATAAAGAAGGAACTAAAATCAACTATAAAATCAACACCTAGATATAAAAATGATGCTAAATATCATTGTTTTACTTTTTTAGTCTTTTCTCTATGTTCTATAAGTAACATATTTTTCTTATTAAATTGGTGTTTATATGTTGTTTTGTATGTTGAATATTTTTTGTGTTACTTAGTATTATGCCTAAACATCTATTTAAACATCACTGTATTATATTTCATGTCTGGAAAGAGCCTCTATTAATTTAATTTACCTCTTTTGTTTTCACTAGTAGAAATAATTCTGGGAAGATAATTATTATAGGTCCATCTTTATATGCATAGCTAAATATTTCTTTGGGGTGATGAATTATATCATACAATTGAAGTGATGGAATTTTATTAATTTAGTATCCTAAACAATTTAACTTCCAGAACAAAATTAATATTTAAGGTCTACTAAAAACTTGTTATAAGTAAGGAATTTATTACATGCAAAATGAGAATGAAAATAAAAAGTCAAAACCATTTGTAGGCAGAGGAAGATAGTAGATAAGATTGCTTTTGTAAATGTAAAAAATTATTAATACAGAACAAGTGTTTCTCTTTAACAAATTGCTTTGATTTTTCTTTTAAGATTTATTTATTTATTCATACAGAACTGGGGTACAGGCCAGAGGTGCAGGGGTGGTGAGAGGGTTCACCAGAGACAGAGTGGGGAGCAGAACAGGAAGATCGAGGAGGTACACTGCTGAGGGGAGCAGCGGGCGGGTCAGGAGAGGTCTGCCTCCCCACGTGGATCTCCTCCAGGGCAGGCAGGGATCGAACTCATGCTGAAGTGACTTAAGCTTCTTACTGCTGTGCTTTAATCCGCTGCGCCACCAGGGAGGGCCCTCTCTTTAACAAATTTCATAGGACAGTATTTATAATATTTTCACTTTGAAATAGAAGTCATATTGCTTTATTGATTCTGTTTTCCAAATTTATATGCATATTTATACTGTGAAGTTCAGAGTTTTACATGCTTAACATTTTCCTGGAGCTAGAGGAGAAATGCTTCTGGTTTTAAAGTTCAGCAGAGTCTTGCATGCTCTCTTAAGACAGGCCTGAGGTGTCTTGTATGTGGCCTCTGCTCTAAAAGCTTTTGTTGTTGGGTGACTTTGAAAAAATAAAAAGCATTGTTTCAAGTTAAGTGACTTTATATTAAAACCAAACATGAAATGTTAGATACTTAATCTTCATTTTCTCAACACTTTATCTTTATTCTTCAGAGGTAATCATTGTTAAATTTTACTGTGTAGTTCCTTTAAAATTTTCTGGGAATCTCTCTCTCTTTGTTTTAATACCAATGAACTCATATTATCATGTTCTATATACTATTCTATTTTACTTTTTAACTTAAATATATAGTCTGATGAGTTTTCTATATCAGATATAAGGCTTCATTTAAACAAATAGTTAAACTGTATTTTATTTGATGGGTGTGTCACATTTTATTAGCATTGATGCCCAAGGAGAATACGGGCTATTTTGAGTTTCACTATTGAACCCCTGTGCATATCTTCAAGTATTGTATATTTATTTTTGTACAATAAATTCTGTAAAATGGAATTTGTCAGTCAGAGGCTTGTACATTTAAATATGTAATTGGCATTGCCAGATTGCCCTTATGCTCATGTGCGCTTAGGGATGTAGGCGTGAGAGAGGGAGTGGGAGTGACAGTGAATGGCTCTGAGAGTCCCTCTTCGGGACAGTGAGAATGTTCTAAAATTAGTTTGTGGTGATGGCTGCACAATCCTCTGATATATTGAGAGCATCGAATTTTGTATGCTTGAAATGGGTGAATTATTATGGTATGTGAATTATGTATATCTTAGTAAAGCTATTAAAAAAGGCTAAGTATTTGTACTGCACCAGTGACATATGTGAATGTCTGTATCCCATATCATCATCGACACTGCATTATAAATATTCTCGGATTATCTGTGAAATGGAAAATAGTAATGGAAATAGTTTGGATATTTGTTTTTCTCTTATTATAAGTGAGAATGAACAATTTTGTATGTTCATTTCTCTCTTTTTACTTTTGTGAGTTATCTTTGCTCACCACTTTTTCCATGTTTTCATTGTGATTCCTAAGAGAAATTTATATATTAAGGAATCCAGGATTTTGTGGCATTTTGCAAGCATTTTCTTTATGTCTTTTGATTTACATGTGTTATTATTTTTTAAAAGATTTATTTATTCATACAGAACTGGGGTACAGGCCAGAGATGCAGAGGGTGAGAGGATTCACTAGAGACAGAGTGGGGAGCAGAACAGGCAGATTGACGAAGTACACTGCTGAGGGGAGCAGTGGGCGGGCCAGGAGAGGTCTGCTGCGCCATGTGGT